GTTAGAACTCCACATTTAGCATCCAAAAACATTTTTCTTATACACAGAAATCCAACTCCAACTATTAGTACTGTATCGGCACCATAACGGACACTTTTATGAGGTTGTTTTCACTTCGTGTATTGTGTTCAGTGCTGTGATTTACCTATACAGTACGAAAAGAGGCCTGCAAATGACCAAAACAAGCTTGCACACAACACACAATCACCCAGCATCCATGTGCCAGCCAGCATGAATGCATGTTATGTAACTGAGGAGGAGCCATGAATCAGCAGCAGTGGCGTTGGTGTCCGTGAGGGCAGGGTGGCCTACAAAAACAAGGGGCTAATTGGTGCGACGCAAAAGGCTCCTGAAAAGAAATGAGCTCATTTTTGGTTCATGTCCAAAGCCCCCCGCTGCATTTTTCCAGGGTCAGAGAAAACCTTGGCCTGTCTGATCCTATCAGGATCCTCTTTAGCCCGTGTGTGTCAACAGTCAAAGCACAAAATAAACCACTGTATTAGAGCTTTAGGTAGGTAGGTACATGTCATCTTCATTTTGAAACTTTTTTTGACAAACCTCCAGCTAAAAATTAAATGCAATATTTGTCGTGGTCCAAATAGAAACAGGTGCAACAAGTAAAGAATCTCTGTTACTACTGATCACAGAGTTCAGAGTGTGCGTAGTTTGTATCTGCTGTGTTTTACCACAGGGTGAATACACCGTACATATACATCCATTTCATGTGTAGCCAGTAATTCCCCCGTTGTGTACTATTTGTCTGAGATTTGAACGTAGTTTTCCCTTCTCTGAGGTGTTTCAGTAGACCTTTTGTGAACTGTTGTTACACCAAGAGCTTCCAATATGCAAGTGAACACGTGTCTGACACGCCTCGCTCGAGGTGCATGCAAGATGCTACGCCTTTGGTCTGTGCCACTGTGTGCGTGATGAGACTTGTCATGCCTCTAAATCCGACCGGCACAGAATCAGAAACCTTGGAGTGATCAGTCGTCACCGGACAAGGCCGATCACGCTGAAAATCGGCCATTACTGGTCTCATAAGACTGGTGCATCTCAACTATATAAGGTCAGTCACTACAGCAGGAAAAATAGATGAGCTCAGGAAAATCTAGACACCTACACCCATTTTGTCTTTACATTCATATAAAACTAAATCTTGATTATAAGACCTAATTCTTGGTGTAGGTGTTACTTTATGTAAAACTGAATTCGTATCCTGTTGATAATCACTTCCACCTCACCATGACACCAAAGTCCACTTCGCCTCCTGTTTTCCTATTTGCAGTGCAGTTGTTTTCAGGCACTACTTGACTTTGTTTAAGTGTCACTACTCTTCAAACTCTAAAGAGGAGCCCATGAGACTGGGGAGGGTGTAACTGAGCTCATGTACTCTGGAGTAATGGCTCTGGACCAAAAGACAGCACACTGAAAAACAATTTAAAAGTGCAGATTTGTAATAAATTTAACAGAATAATTTAAGCTTACCATAAACTTCTCATTTCATTACTAATGAAAGAGACATGAAACTTACTTAATCTATTGTGCAATAGACATGAAGAGAAAACAAACTCTGCTCTCTCTTCAGTGATATCCTCAGGTCCTGAACACATGGCTGCCTGTTTGCCAGACATTCTGCTCAAGATGTTGCATGTGTGTCCATCTGTATGCTGTTGTCTACCCTGAAACCATGCTTTAATTGCCTTGCAATTAGCCCATTATCACAAGAACATTTACATTTTTGCAATACTTGTGGAGAACGAGGGATGATGTTATGAGCATGTGGAAGCGTTATCATCCTCAGGGCTGGATATGGTGGAAATCTCACCTCTGTCTGAGCCCACAGAGTCTGACTGCAGCTTGACGATGTCCTCAGCACTTCCATACTTCATGACTGAATTGATGGATGAGAGCGTGCTAACCAGCTGACTGTTGATGGATCCGAACTGGGACTGGGGCTGACCAAAAGCTTCTGCCAGCTCACTGTAGTTCTGAGCTAGCAGCATCTGTTGCTCCTGCAGCAGCTTCTGAACCCTCTCGATGTAATGGTCCAGTCCGACGCCTCCCTGGGCCTGAGCTTGCAGCGGCACAGGCTCTGTGTTAACCTCCACAGTCTCCTTGCTGTTTGCAACAGATACAGTTGGCTGGGAGGGGCCACATGCGATGGTTCGGGTCTTCAATCCAACCAAGAAATTCTCATGAATGTTAACTGGACCCACCCCGCATTCTTTAGTTTTAGTTGAGCAGGATTTGGACAGTAATGACTCCATGTCTGTGGTGGTTCCAATGGCAATCGAACGCATCTTTGCTGTTGAGTGAATGTCTTTGACGAGTCCTTCCCCAGCAGCGACTGTCCTCATTTCAGTCACAGCTGTGTTGGTGTGCTTGTCACAAGTATTCCACACCATGTCAGTGAATGCGTCCATGAGGACAGCTGTTTTAGTGTTAGTGGACTTGTGTACAACTTCTGTCTCAGTATTGGTCTGTTTAATTGCTGACTCAGGAGCAGCCATGACACTAGAGTCCACCTTGTTGACGGACTCGGGCTCAGTTCCTTGCGACACCAGCGTCTTGATGGGACTCACAATTACATTGACTGAACCATCTCCACAGCCAACTGATCTGGACTGTTTGCTCAGCTCTGTCATGGGTTTGCAGAGAGCCAAGCTGTCCATTGATTCCTCTGTGTTAACTCCCACCTCACATACATTCAGCTCCACCCCCACCTGCTGATGGCACATCTCCACCCACCTCCCCACGCACTGGTCCCTCAGCTCCACACGCTCATGCACCACCCACCTGTCCACAGGGATCTCTGGGCCTGTGGCAGTGCTCTGTACACTGGGCTGACAGGTCACACCGACACTATGGGTTTGTACAGTTTTAGCTGTCCTAACATGGCTGAACTCCAGATGGTCACCCACTCCCTGACTGCACATCTGGACTCTGGCCTCCACACAGGCATTGTACATCTCAGGCCTGGCCATCAAACCTTTGTCTGCTTTTTTCTTGGTTGACCCACCGGCTGCTTGGAGCTCCAGTTTTAGCTTTCCCATCTCCATCTGATGAGTGGTCTCTTTCAGCTGCACCTCCAGACGGTAGATCTTCTCCTTCAGTGCTTCGATGGTCTGCTGCTGGAGCTCAATCTCTCTCTCGGCTTCACTTGTCATGCCCAGCATTGCCTCAGTCACGCCAACCGCAGCGGTATGCATTACCTGACGCTCCGTCGATACTCCTGTATCCCGGAAACAACGTTCATTAGTCAGCTTCCTCTGAGTGACAGGAAGGTTGTTCATGTTTTCATCAGTAAGTATGCCAATGGATTTCTGGTGGGCTTGGTTTTGGGTGAGGCTGAGAGGCTGAGTTTCAGGTGTACTATTATCCAAGGTGGTCCTCTCCAGAGCTTGGACCTCAGCAGCCAGACGCCTGAACTCCTCCAGCCGCTGAGCATTCCGTTCCTGGGCTTCAGGCTCCATAATGTGCAGCTCTGGTTCCTTCTGGAGGGGGCCTGGATTCTCCATTTGATCAGCACTGCCTACACTGTAGGAGCGCTTTCGGAAACCACCAGGACCTTGACTTCGGGTCTGACCAGCCAGTTGTCTTTTCTCTTCCTGTAGAACTGCAATCTTAACCTGTAAGACAGGAATGGTTTTCACCTGTTCCTCCAGCTCTTTCAGTCTCTTGAGGGCTATCACCATCTGCTCCCGGATATGCTGGAGGTGTAACGGGCTGACGTTAGTCACAGGTGTGGCCATGCCAGAGCTCATGGGGCTGTGACGGATGGAGCCTCCCATGGATGGTGGGTAGTAAGGGTTATACTCTCCATTGGGGAGGTGACCATTGATTGGCAGAGGCTGAAGGGAGCTGGGAGAGATCTGGCTTGGGGCCATGGAGCCCGAGTACGAGGACAGGGAGCTGTTTGAGCCCATGCCACCAAAGCTGGCGAGACGCTGCATGAGCAGACGCTCCTGTTCGAGCCGACGACGGGTCTCCATGAGGGTCTTCTCCACTTGGGGGTTGTGACGAGTGGCCAACCTGGGTGAAGGAGGTGGCAGAAGCCGTTTCTGCTCTGTGATGCTCCAGTAGGATTGTTGCAAGGGGACTTCACAGGCTGCCCTGGAGAGCGTGGGGGTCAGCGGCGCAGCAACTGGGGGCTTGGAGGTGAAGAAGACCGGGGACTGCTTGTCATCGCTGTTGGAGGAGGACAGAGAGTCTGTAGAGGTCCATTCAGCCTGAGTGCTGCCCCGAGGCCCTGCCAAGGGTTTGGTCACTTTGGGCTTCCTCTGGATACTCAGCTTCTTGATGGTGTTGCCCCTCTCAATGTCATCGACATATTTGAGGAAGTCCAGGTCTAACTGATAACCGTAGGGCGTCTCAACATAATAGGGGGCCGCGGAGTCCTTGTCATCTTGTGTGCTCGGGCATCTTTGTCCTCTTTCTGAAATGGAATCCACAAGAACACATTATCAGTAAAGAATGACAAATAACATTCCAAGCCGATTTGTATGTGTAAACAATTCCAGAGAACATATTTCTTTAAGACCCTAAACAGCTCAAGTGTCAGGTAAAGTGATTAAGTGTTTCCTCAGCTGAAATAAATCACCATAATTTGACGGTAAGTACAAACATGTCTAAAGTTTCTTACATCTCTGTTGAAATAGACATGAATTACTTCAGCACGGGGTGGTTCAAGTCAGCACAAAATTATGCAAGATCCAACTCAGTGACGCAAACATCAAATAGAAAGTGGTAAAATAAAAACAAATGCTGGTTATCCATTGTATAATTCTGCCTTCAGGTGAGGTCTGCGGAAACCGAAATGTTTTGGTACAAAGCTTGTGGCAGATAAACAGGCTGTTGTTTACAGAGATTGGATAAGAAAGAGCCAAAAGGGGCGAGTGAGACAGGAACACAGACAATGTCAATATTTTCCGATGGATCTGTTGTTTCTATACTTTGAACCGATCAATCAAAGCTGCTTAAAATTAAAATCCAAAGTCCAGGCATCGAGCTGAAAATGTTCTGTCAGATCCGAGTCTGTAGAGCCGTTAAGCTTTCCAGACTTCTACCAGACTCCCACTGTATTCGCCGTCTGTTAAATACAGCGTCCTGTTCTTGGTATGTCTGGAACTCACCAACTAACACAAACACAGGCCTGAAATAAACAGCCCTGCTCTTCCTTTCCAGTCCACCCAGCTCCGGCAACTTCTCCCGTCAATCCTTTCCATTCAGCTACAGCAGAGGGAATTACAAGGACTGAGCCTGACACTAAAACCTCACCGCCTTGTTGTTCAGGCTTCACTCACCTCACTCCAACAGCGCTCTCTTTCTCTCTCTCTCTCCTTTTCTCTGCTGGCTGTTTTAACAGACAGGATATAGTGTCCTACTGTTTTCTCCTCACTCCGTGTACTCTCCCAGTCCTCTGCTCCACTGTTGGTGTAAACTAACCACAGCCCTGCTCGGGTACACTATTGGATGGCCGCCTCCTCCAATCCTGTGAGGCTCTGAACCAGGCGCTTCCCTACCCAAATAAGAGTCCTGTTGTCCAGAGCCAAATAACAGACTTGTGGCCTCAAATAACAGTTTACTCCTAATTTTCTAAATGGCTGTATTCAAGTCAGAGTTTTTATTTTATAAAATGTTAGAATATAGTTAAATATGCTTGTCACAATTTCCCCACCGCTGCTTCGTATTTCTAAAGAACTTAAACAATTAATTGATTAATCAAGGAGCTGACAATGAATTTTTAACATTTCACTACTAATTACTGTTTATTTTAGCAGCAAGTCATTTTACATTGTGCAGGTTCTAGCATCTAAAACATAACATGATATATAATCTGCTGTGGCCCTAAACCATGTTACTAATTAATAATAATATTTAATTCTTTTCATGTGCATTGTAATATGTTTATGCATGCATTATGTGAATTTCCTTATGTGCAAACATAGTTTTTCCTTTATTTTAAAGGAAAATTTTTATATCAAGTATGTAAAAAGATAAATTTTCCTTTATAGGGGTTTTCTCCGGATTGCAAGTGCGTTACACCATTTCCCAGCCACACAGCGGTGATATCACCAGAAGCAACTAGGGGTTCAGTGTCTTGCTCAAGGAGACTGAGGCCAGGCTGTTTTTTTTTTCTTTCCTATTGCATGCCCTGGAAAAAAAAAAGCACATCCTGTTTTTTTTTTCCTGGTATTAGTGTTCCGTGTATGGCAACACAGTCAGGGTCTTGTGCTGTGTGGTTTGGAGGACGCCCCCTGGCACGAGTTACTGACCAGTCATGTCTCCTACTCGGGAGTGACAGGCAGCTCTTTGGTACCACCGAGACCCCCGACAGCTGAGTGGTGAACTCATCAACACGAGACAACTGAAGGGGTCAGGTTCCAGTGACAGGAAGTAAACAGTGACGCTGAGGGCTACACAACACTGACACAACCTGGCTCTGCAGGATTTTAGTTCCTCGAAAAGATTTTACTGCCTGTCAACACATTTCACAAGTCATATTTTCTAAATTTCCATGTCTTCTGCCTAAAAACTAAACTGCTCAAACATTGAATGAGGCACTTTTTTTTTTTTTTTTTTTTTTTTAAATAAATGACATGATGTTCTGAATCTTTCCCAGGCAAGTTTCCCCAAACTGAGCTTCGCCAGAGTGACTAAGCACTGCTAGTATTTAAGGAACGTTAGCAGAGACCTCTACCTAGATTGACTTAAGTTTACTTTGCTTGGCACCATTTGTGAGTAGAAACAAACACCAAGAAAAACATTAGTTCAGTGGTATTTTCTAAATGTCCTTCACAAATTCTGGGTTATGTGTATAGAAATGAGAAAACGAGTCAGAGTCCTGGAGGATGAAAATATACAGTAGCATAATATAGTTTAGTAGAAATATTTGTCAATATGCGTCATGGAGATGAAAAGTGAATGCATATACAAGTGCATCCAGATGTGGAGTGATGGCAGTGAAGATGAGCTTCAGGCTTGACAGCTGCTTCTTTTAGCCAGCGTAGGTGGAAGACCAACCAAGACGAACCAGAGACAAACGCACTAGTGTCCAAACATCTTCGCCTTCTCGCTCCCTAATCTCTAAGAAAACGTTCCTTGATGGTGAAGCAGAAGATAGTAGAGTCTTCTAGGTGGAGCTGTAACACGACGAAGAGACAAACATTATGAAGTCCGACCCCAGCACTATTAATCTACTAACCTCAGTTTCATACTGTAAAAAAGATAAAGATTTTCATGTAAGGGTTCTGTTGTTTTTAATATGAATTAAACTAGAACACAACATTTTGAATGTATGACTAGTAAAACTTGGAAACCACTTTGTACATGTTATTGTTGCATTTCAGCTTCAGTTTTAGAGCCAATCAATTAATAGATTGATCAACTGATAAACAATGAAAAAGGTTCCGATAGCTGAATAATCATGTAAGGACTTTAGCAAACATCTGCTGGTTCCAGCTTCTCCAGTGTGAAAGACTGATAAATGTTCTCTCTCATACAACTGTGAACATTACTTGTCTAGATAGACGAGCAATGTAAACAGGACCTGGAGTCTTGGGAAGATCGAGCACTGCATTCACTGAAAGTCTGATGAGCAAACAATTATGGACATAGTTGTTAGTTGCAGGGCTAGTCAGTCTCATTAATAACCTAATTAAAATGTATTAAACAATGTGTTGACTATTGCTGAACCCCTGTTGAAATCAATGCAGCAGAACACAAACCTACAAAAGTAACAATTTTCCTTTCTGGTCAACAGAAGGTGAGGAAACAGGCCAACCAACAGGACTTTTAATTACTGCGCTAAACATTATGCAAGTGTCACGTGAAGAACTTAAATAGCATACGGAGCTCGGCAGAGCTTCCCAGCTCTGCTCCACTTCTGTAAACTAGGATATTAAAATAGCCTAATTATCTAACGTTAGCTGCAGATTACGTCTAACAGCATGTCCCGTATACACACACTCAGGGGATCGTCAAGAAAATGCGGCTGCTGAAATTTCTCCCTGGCATGTTACAGGAGCCGCCTACATGCCTGTCGCAGGCGGTTTTGCAGGCTCTAACAGAAACCACATGCTGAGAGAACACCGTTGTTCTTTACATTAGGTCGAAAACGCTGAAATCCAAAGAAGCAACTGAAGTGTCACCGTTCACACCATCTGACACTGGTGGGAAACACATGGTTTAGTCGCTCCCAGTTTGACAGACATGTGCTGTGCATAAAATTCCTTCACACAGACCTTTTCTGGTCTCATCTGTGCTTGAGTGATGAACACAATGTTTGCTGATCTTTACATTTTTAGTACTATTAGCTCAAACTTTTCTCTAACACCCATTCTGTTACTTTAAACCCATGACCTTTCCCCCCTGTGTTTGCTTTTAAAACACTGCCCTGAAGGACAACTTTGGCGGAAATATATACAAGCATGGCTTGGTAAAAGTTTAGATTCACAGCTGACAAAAGCTTTTTAACAAGCAAGGCAGCCTGAGAGAGAGCATGAATTAGGCTACTGGTCTAACTCCGTCTGCCATCCACACAGAGAACAGCCTGAAATGAGCAATATCTTAAATCTGCATTTCTTTTTTGTAGGGAAGCATTCAGATGTGCAGCGGTAAAGTCGGGGAACTTTAACAATACAGGTATCCTGTTAATAAACAAACAAACATCTGTTTAATAAAAAGAGACTGTTCCATACAGGACATGAGGGAACACCTGATTCGAATCACATGTTACAACCTTTTTACAGCGTTGCTGAATCGCACTTGTGTTCAGAAAAAACCCACCAGGTGATCTGAGTTGGAGTCACAAAGTCTGGAGCAGTTTCTTTGTAGTAGAAACATGATTCAGCCTTTGTCTCATTCAACTAGAAGGTATACAGCGCTTGGCAATTTGGAGCTAGGTGTGCTTTACATACTGGGATGCAGAACAGTTGCTAGCAGCTAGTCTGAGAATGAATCAGGGTCTGCTCTGAACTAGCAACAAAGTGTGGTACCTTCTCACTATTTAGGTAGATGACCACATGTACATGAAGTACAGGTTTGAAAACATTCCACGGTTTTCTTATAGTACTTTTATTTTGACAAAACAACAGTGAAAACTGCATTTCTGAGTGAAGCATTTCAACAGACAAAGCCACAGACAGAAACAGTCATACTGGTCTCGTGCACAAACAGCTGCAGAGCGGAATAATACAGCGAAGGGACTCACACTTTGTGCATTATACTGACTGAGAGCCAAGCATGATGTAAGTGCCTGTGGAGAGGGGACACACACATTTGTACAGCTATCTTTGTGAGGACACACTGATATAATGCATTCTCTAGCTAAATGCCTAACCCCACCCTACACTTAATTCTAACCTGAAGCCTGAAACTATGCCCTAACCCTCAAACATCGTGGCTAAAATGTCCTCACAATGATGGCACAAGGGT